GAAAGTCCATGCTTAGATATGTGATGATGTATGATAAAATTAGCCTATAAGTCCATGCTTAGAAATTGTTGCAGTCTGTGCTTTGGTTTGTTGTCTTGTGGCTTTTATAGGTGTTTTTAATATTTAATTATGTCATTTGTCAAACTTCTTTCAGCTAATGTTTGTTGTTTCTTTTCTTCCCAGAGGCAAATGTTCTAGCTGGCACTTTAGTTGCTCATACAGATGCAGTCTGGAGTCTTGCCTATAGTGGCATAAAAAATCAATTGCTATCTTGTTCAGCAGATGGCACTGTTAGGTTATGGAATCCACAAGAAAAATTGCCATGTATTTGCACTTACAATGGAGACAAGGGTAAGTACAATTTTTCTCTATCAAGAGCAGTGTTTTCTTTTTGTTTTGTTTTGAATTTTATTTATTATGTACTGCATGTAGGTAAGTGCACCCATGTCATGCAATGCCCGTGGAAGACAGAAGAGGCTCTCTGATCCCCTGGAACTGGAGTTACGCACAGTTGTTAGCTGCCTTGTGGGTGCTGGGATACGAACCTGGGTCTTCTGCAAGAACAACCAGTGTTCTTAACCGCTGAGCCATCTCTCCTGCCCAAGAGCAGTGTTTTTTAAAAGATTTATTTTATTCTTTGTGCGCATGCATGTGAGAAGAGAGTGTTGGATCCCTGGAAGCTAGAGTTACAGGAAGCTGTGTGCTGCATGATGTGGGTGCTGGGAAGGAGTTCTGGTCCTCTGCTAGAGCAGCAAGCACTCAACTGCTGAGCTCTCCCCAGCCCAAAGAGCATTTTAAAAAGTTTTTACATTTATTTCTGTGTGCATGCGTGCGTGAGTGTCATGGTGCACATGTGGAAGGAGGTTAGAGTACAACTTGTGGGGGTCAGTCCTTATGTCGTGGTAGTGCCTCTACTTACTGAGTCACCTTCCTGGCCCCAGAACAGCATTTGTTTAAGGAATTGGAGAATAAAAGGGACAAAGAATTATTTACTGCTCCAAAGAGAGCAGTATGTTAAAAGAATTTTATAAAACGAACTGTAATGGTTTTATTCATTCTTTTTTTAAAATTTTATCTGTATGTGTGTATTGCATGTACTTAGGTAAGTGCACCCAGGTCGTGCAATGCCCGCAGAAGACAGAAGAGGCTGTCGGATCCCCTGGAACTGGAGTTACAGACAGTTGTTAGCTGCCATGTGGGGTGGGATTCAAACCCGCGTCTTCTGTAAGAACAGTCAGTGTTCTTCACCTCTGAGCCATCTCTCCAGCCCCTTGCTGAGTCATTTTGACTTGAAGTGGTTTGTAAATATGGACTGTTGCTCAGTGCTTTTTATTTCAGATTGTGTTCTGTTTAAAAATAGAAGTGTTTGCATATAGCAGCGAAGCAGACAAAGATGCTGCTTTAGAGGGGCAACAGGAAGCACTCTGCCTGCTCTGGTGACTGCTCATAAGGACGGGAGGGATTGTGGTCTAAACATATGCCTATCCGTAGCTGTGTGTGCCGTGACTTTGAGTACACAGAGTAGAGTGAGGTGCGTCATGGTCATTACAGCACTGTTATGGAAAGCACAAATCAGATTACTCTCATGATTTTAAATCCCCTTAACATTTTTACATTTGTGTGTGAACAAATGTCATAGCAGTGGTTGGGTCTCCCTTCTACTCTGTGGGTCCTTGGGGCTGAGCTCAGGTTGTCAGGCTTGGCAGCACGTGCCCTTTACTGCTGAGCCATCTTGCCAGCCTCACATCTTATTAGAGAAAGCTTCACCCAGCATTTTATCTTCTGAAGATATTTATGTATTTGCTTATATAGTTTTGTTGTTCTTATTTTCTGAGTTTTTCAAATTCTTTTAATTTGACCTTTGCTTGTATTTGAATATATACTGTTTTAAGACATACGCTCAATTTTGTGTATCTTTTTTGTATGTTGGTGATTCTACTAATATTAGAGTAGAATTTAGATATTTGATTCTTGCATCATCTAATGACTAGACTGCAGATTTTACCTAATTGTGCATTAATCTTGCTATTTGCATTTAATGTATTAAAAGAAGAAAATTGCCGCTTGGGCCACTTTTGGAAACTATGGCACCAGTGGGGCCCACAGTCCATTCTTCTTTTTTTTTGTTTGGTTGGATTTTGTACTTCTTTGAGACAGGGTCTCCCTCTAGATAGACCAGGGAGGCTAGAACTGACAGAGATCCTCCGGCCTCTGCTGGGATTTAAAAAAGCATGCACCTCCATGCCTGGCCCTAGCTTCGTTTTATAGAAAGTTCTGACTTGCATTGGCTCCTTGATAAAGCTTACGTAATCTGACAGGTAAGGAGTGTCCCTGGTAATGGTGTATGAGATGTCAGCTTTTCATTTTCCCTAAGAAAGTTGGCAAGTAGTTCCAAAGACCTAACAAGATTTTTTTTCTCTACTGTGGACTAGAACAGGGATTCCACATGCTTGACTACTAATTTTTGTATATATCTACTCTATATATTTTTGGTTGTATTTTTTATAATGTAAAATAGGATGTTATATATAAAAATTTTTTTTAAATAATTGATTTTTTTTAACTTTACTACCCTAACACATTGTTTTCATTTTTATTACAAACATATTTCAAGAATATTTGAGTGGTTTGGAGAGATGGCCCAGCACGTAAGAGCACTGACACAGGGTGCTCTTCTGACCTCTCTGGCATTGCATGACACGGGTGCACTTGCATACATACAGACAGTACACTCACACATGTAAAATAAAAATAATAAATATTTTTAAGAATATTTGAGGGGGCTGGAGAGATGGCTCAGCCGTTAAGAGCATTGGCTGCTCTTAAAGAGGCACCAGGTTTGGTTTCCAGCACCCACATAGCAGCTAACAACTGCCTGTAACTCCAGTTCCAGGGACTCTTACACCTTCTTTCTGGCCTCTGCAGGCATTGCATGCAAGTGGTGCACTCAGCTACATGGGGGCAAAACGCTCATACACACAAAAATAAATAAAACACTGAAATCCCCTTTATTTAAAAAGGTAGAAATTTCAAGTTCGGTTGTCTTGTTTTGGACTCTTTTCAGAGCATGGGACACCTACATGGGTTGACTTCATAGGCTGTGATCCAGCTCACATGGTGGCTTCTTTCAACACTGGTAGTGCAGTAATTTATGACTTAGAGACGTCACAGTCATTGGTGACACTTTCATCACAGGTAGATTCTGGTAAGTTTTCGTGAGTTTTTTTGAATTTTCTTTAAAAGAATTATGTGTAGGAAAGTGGTCTTGTGGCTAATTCTCATACTGACTGTATTTAGGAGAGAAAAATAATTTCATCATCTAAGGAGTCCTGGAAAGCTTGAGTGGGTATGAAGGGACAAGGAAGTAACGTGAATGAAAGTAAGAGACTGTGATATCATGAACCCGATCTCCTCACCCACTGCAGTAATGATTTATAAAGAGCCAATTTGCAAGTGTGGGTGTGTTGCCGTTACTTTCAGAGGGACCCACAGAAGTCTGTGGATTGTGATTGGTTGACAAGTCCCTGTTCACCTACAGGTTACCTATAGCCGTTCTGTTTTCTTTTTCTTTTTTTTTTTTTGGTCTTTTTGAGACAGGGTCTCCCTGTAGCCTCAGCTGTCCTGGAACTCACTATGTAGATCAGGCTGGCCTTGAACTCACAGAGATCCGTCTGCCTCTGCCTCTGCCTCTGCCTCCCGAGTGCTGGGATTAAAGGCATGCGCCACCACGCCCGGCCCCTTTCTTTCTTTTTTTTTTAAATTGAAGAAGTTGATTAGTTTATCCAGTTTCCCAGAGTTAGGTTTTGCTGATTGCATCCTGTGGACATTGAAAGATACTCTCTGTCCATCCTAATTGGCTGTATATAACAGAGACTCATTCAAATTCAACTTCAGTGATTTTCTTTCTTAAATTTTAAAAGGTTTTTAGCAAAGACTACTTCAAAGAACAGTGAGTGAACTGTTATCATAGGTCGATATCGTCTGATTCTTTATCTTTTTGTGCTGTTTTCTCTGTTAATTTTTGTCTTGATCCATTTATTAACTGTGTATTGAATAATGATTTCTTATTCCTTCTCTAATTATTAACTAAAATACTTACATAAAAAGAAACATTCTGTCAGTAGATTGCTTACCTTGAAGTTACTCATTGTGAATGGAAGGCAAGATAAATTGAATCCCCTTCCCGCTTTTTGCCAATTCTCAAAATAATGGTGTTTTGATACTATAATATTGTGTAGATAAAGATCTATTTGTGTTTCAGTTCACTGAAGACATTTCTCTTTAAAGCTGTTGGGTGATCTCCATTTGACCAGGGGTGGCTTATTCAGGTCAGCTCTTGCATGGCTGACCTTCAGCTATGGTAGTTGATAGCTTTGTTGCTTTCTCAATATGACAAACATGTAAGTTCATCTTGTTCATTTTTGCCTCAGGTCTGGGTTCATCGATTGCTCTAAGGAGTTGTGGTTGGTTTTTATAGGCGGTGGCATTCAGAAGACTCGAGTCTGGGTGCTAAGCAATGGGCCTTATCCTCACGGTCTTCATGACTTTGGGCTTGTTCCTGTTTTAGTCTTTTTTCCTATGGATAGACCTAGGAAATGTGAATTTTTTACAAAGTAAAAGTCTTCCAATGCAAATGCAGATTTATCCTGGTTTTCACAAAAGCATCCTTTTCATTTCTCACTTCATTTTTCCCGTGGTCCCTACATGGTTGTCTCATAGTGCCGCCACTGTGTCGTACCAGCTTGTTGATGATAGCTTGCATTAGGATAGATCCCACTGAGGGTATATATACTGAATACTGCACTTAACCTAGAACCTAACAGCATTAGGTTTTTTGAGATTATGCTACCATTCATTTAATTTTACTTCTGATTTTTTCAAAAATGATAATTATGTGAAATATTTACATAGTTCTGTTGTCAGATTATATTTAGGGAGGGAGGGGGATATTGTTTTGTCCTTTTGAAACAGGACCTCGAAAGTATAGTGAAGCTGATCATGGTGACACACACCTTCCCAGCACCTAGGAGATAGAGGCAGGCAGATCTCTGTGACTTTAAGGCCAGCCTGATCTATGTCACAAATTCCAGGCCAGCCAGGGCTATATAATGTGGCCCTGTTGAAAGAAGGGGCGGGGAGAATGAAGGAAGGAGGGAGGGAGGGAACGAGAGAGGGAAGGAAGGAAGGGAAGAAAAGAGGGATAAAGAGAAGTGTACATGGGCTTTGAACTCAGAATCCTGCCTTAGCCTCCTGAGTGCTGGGATTACCAAAAAAACAAATTATATTCAAAGTGTCTTTCCCAGTGTCCCCTCAACCCTGTTCTCTCTCTTCCCTTTACATGGATAAAATAAATGTGTTTTAGTTAAACATCTCAGAGTTCTTATTTATATTAAGAATGATTGACTTTGACTATTAATCCAGTTTCTACCTGAAGGTTTGAGTTTTAAGTTTTTAATGCTGAAAGTTAAGCCCAGGACCTCACACATGCTAGGTATGTGCTCTCCCTCTGAGCTATTAATATAGCTTTAGCCCAGGTGCTTTAAATTTTAAATACCGTGTTCCTTTATTTTTCAGGTTTACAATCTGGTAGTCATATTAACAGAGTAGTAAGTCATCCCACACTTCCTGTTACAATAACTGCTCATGAAGATAGACACATCAAGTTTTTTGACAATAAAACGGGTAAGCAGATTATTTTCATATTAATATTTGAGATGGTTTAGAGTGCTGTTCTTGCAGAGGACCTGGATTTGGTTTGGTTTCCTAGTACCCACATTTCCGCTAACATCTCTCTGTAACTCTAGTTCCAGGGGATCCAACACCGTCTTCTGGCTTCCACGGGCATCATACAACATGGATATACTTATGTACATGCAGGCAGAACACTCATACACATAAAAATAAATTTTAAAAAATTTCAAAGTGCTATTCTTTTATATGTTGGCTTTTGGTCTATGAAATTGTCAGGTTAAACTTTTTTTTAAAAGGTTCTGGGGAATTATGCTAGATAAACACTTGACCACTGAGTTATATCCCTGACTCTAAGATATTTTAACTCATGGTTTTGCCTCTTATAATGTGCAAGTTTTAGTTTTGACTATACACAATACTTTCCCTATTATAATTTCTTCATATCATTTTCATTAGATACAAATTCTTCCATTTGAGTATTTTTCATATTCTGTTTTAATATAGCAAAAGACATTACTTCAAATACATTCTTAAACTGTTCTCAGTAAATCAAATGATGGGATAGTATATGTTGTTTGTTACCGTCTTACTGCATAGCTTGTGGTTGTGGTAAGGAAACTTTCCAATTGTAGTGATTTCAAATTAAAGTTTGGACATGGGTGCATATGAATTTTTTAATTTTTAAAATTTATTTGTGTGTGTGTGTGTGTGCGTGCGTGTGAGTCAGGGCACACATGATGGTCAGAGGGCAACTGTGGATTCCAGGGATCAAACTCAGGTCATCAAACTTGTATAGCAAATGCTTTACCTGCTGAACTATCTCATGAGCCCATGTGTGAGTGTTCTTAAAGACAGTCTTTCTCTGTTTCATAAAATACTGTCTTTCAGGAAAGGTCTGACAGCTTAAAAAGGCTACTTTGAATGCCGTGCATTGTGGCACACGCCTGTAATCCCAGCACTTGGGAGGCAGAGGTAGGCAGAGGCCAGCCTGGTCTACATAGTGAGTTCCAGGTCAGCTGGAGCTACAAAGACAGGTTATTGAAGGACTCAGAAATCTCAATTATAGGGCAACAGATTATCAAGCTGTGCAACAGACTAGAATAGGAAATGATAATAAGTTTCAGACTTGAGGCTTGTGTAAGATCTTTTTGTTCACTAACACTTTCATGGGAAAATTCCTTTTAGCTCTGTATAACAGATTGGGAATCTGTATTTATTTATCTGTGTACAAATATTCACAGGTTCACGTACTGCAGGGGAGTCACATTGGTATTGATGTAGGTGTTTTCAGTTACGTGCCTTTTCAAATCATGACTGTTTTGGTGAAGTACAACAATCTCCCATTGCTGCAATGTGTGTCCTAGAAAGGTTTGTTGGTTGTTTGAGCTGAGGTCACTCTGCTCCTTGGGCCAGAGGAGAACTGTTGGAGAACTCGTGGACTCAAGCTCTGCTTCCCTTTTAGCCTCCAGAGTGTCTGGGATCACAGGTGTATGGCACTCTATCCAGCAGAAAGTTTCCTTTTTTAACAAAAACTTAGCTTTTTAGAGAGATGTTTAGGAATTTTAGTAGTGTCCAAAAAGCAAAAGTACGTGTCTAGTGCTGTATAGTTTTGAAGAAAGGAGTGAAGGGCAGCAGTTAAGTGCACTGGCTGCTCTTGAAGGGGACTGGGGTTTATTCCCAGCACCCACTTCTGGCTTCTGCGGGCATTTCATGTACATTTTGCATTTAACGTGCAGGGGAAGCACTCATACACCTAAAATAAAATTAATAAATAAAATATTAAAACAGGCTGTCATTGCCTGTGCAAGATCTAACTAGTCAGCATGCTAGCAGGGAGCAGGATGGACTCATGAGCACTTACCCCCAATTGAGGAGCTCTTGACAAGTGCTAGCTTCTGAGGGAGGGAGAATCGGTTTTCTATAAGAGTGTGGCCACTAGACTAGTGGATGGCCCTGCGCCATGACTTTATGGTCGGCACAAACTGGGCTTGCTGGTTTCAGTTTTTGTTTTTGTTTTCTTTTAAAAGACCATGAAGTTGGGAGGGATTAAGAGAGGTGGGGTGGATCTGGGAGGAGTGGGGGCTGAATCTGTTCAAAATACATGGTATGACATTCCCAAAGAATTTACACAAGTACATTTTTGAAAAGATGCTGTATTAAATCAATTTTCTGTAACTCACACTGACAGCAACTTTTAAAATTAATCTGTTAATTAACCTTAGTGATGAGAAATAGACAGCTGTGATTGTAAATGATTAGAGGCATCTTTAATTTTGTACTCAAATGGTAGCTGTTTAATACTACCAAAAAGTGACATGACTTTTTATAGTTTGGGGAGTAAAATTTTGCATATTTGATTGTTGCAGTAGTGTGTTCAGGTCAACAGTCATGGCCCCGTGTTAAGTCAGGAAAACAGACCTCTTTCATGTCATAGTGTAAAATGTCCTAAATGACTAGCAGTATGGGAAATGATCAAAACTAAAATGTTACAGAAGACTTCCTGTCTTACATTTGGAACATCCAGGCATTTGAGTAATAGACACATTGCTGACTAAAGGGGAATAGATTTTTAAAGTATTGGTATTTGCTATTTTATTCCCTTCTTCGATGAATCAGTTGATTGATTGATCGATTGATTGATCTTTTTTTGAGACATGGTTTCTTTGTAGCCCCCGCTGGCCTGGAACTTGATATGTAGAATCAGTTTTTCTTTTAGTTTATTTTTATTTTATGTGTATGAGTGTTATGCCTGCATGTGTGTAAGTGCACCTGTGTCGTGCAATGCCCAGGGAGGTCAGAAGATGGCATTGGATTCCCCTGGAACTGGAGTTAGGGATGGTTGTTAGCCACCATGTGGGTGCTAGAAATCGAACCTGGATCCTCTGTAAGAACAGTCAGTGCTCTTTAACCACTGAGCCAACTCTCCAGACCAGAATCAATTTTTAAAAATATGTATTTATTTTTGTGTGCGTGTGCATACAGGTATAGGTCAGGGGATACTGCAGAAGTTGGACAACTCTACAGCTCAGAATCAATTTTAAAATATGTATTTATTTGTGTGTGTGTGTGTGTGTGTGTGTGTGTGCGCACGTGCACAGGTACAGGTCAGAGGGCAACTGCAGAAGTTGGTTCTCCTTCCAACATGTGTGTTCTTGGTCTCCACTCAGGTCATTAGACTTGGTGGCAAACGCCTTTACCTTCTGAGCCATCTCTTCAGCCTCAGGATGAATCAGTGTGAGATGTTGCTTTCTGTCCATCAAAATATATGAATATATGTTACCAGGGCAGGATGCCCTTGCCCCCAAAACTTTTGTACAGCACAACTTTGTATTCACAGCGTGTTTTTAATTTCATTTCACCTTCCTGTTAACTTTGTGTCCTGTTTGAAACTGTCTCACAAGCTGTCTAGTCAACCCTGTGAAGCCAGCTTCAGGGGCACCTTTCCTTTTTTGTTTGTTTGTTTTGTTTTTCTGAGACAGGGTCTCCCTGTAGCCCCAGCTGCCCTGGAACTCACTATGTAGACCAGGCTGGCCTTGAACTCACAGAGATCCGCCTGTCTCTGCCTCCCGAGAGCTGGGATCAAAGGCGTGCCCACCATGCCCGGCTGCATTTCCTCTTTTTACAGCTCTGAAGGACCAGTGTTCAGATCTGAGGGGAAGGGAGCTCAGAGGGTTTGAGTCCCACCTGTCCACCAGATCTTAAGTGAAGATACTCAGTAAACTACATTTTTCAGGGACTGGAGAGATGGCTTAGCAGTTATGAGCATCCACATCAGACAGCCCTCAGCTACCTGTAACCTCAACCCAGAGTATCCAGTGCCTTTGGCCTCCGCAGGCACCTGTATTTTTTTGTGCACATGCACCCCCCCCCAATTAAAACCAATAAAATTGTGTTTTTAAACAGTACGTTTTCTAGAGCAGTGCTTGCCAGTATCTGCGGTAATCCAGAATAATTTCTGTGATGTCTTTACACCACTTCCCGCTTTCTTGTTTCCAGTGTATAAAGTTTATTTCACGGGATGAATGAACTTGATACTAGAATCTTTAGGTAGGACTTTCTCTTCTGGTGATTTGTTTTGTTGTTGTTGTTGTTGTTTGTATAAGGGATTGAACCCAGGACCTCAAGCATGCTAGGCAAGCAGTCTACTACTAAGCTATAAATCCCTATCTTCTAGGGGATAGGGGATTAATTCATGTATAAAGAACAATCTTAGGTTCTGTCATTGAGACTTTATAGGATCATAAGCCTTTGTAACCCTATTATGTTTTGGTGTGTGGGTGTATGTGTGCAGGTGCACACATACGGAGGCCAGAGGTCACTGGTTCTGCTTCCTTGGTGCTGGAATTAGCAGTGCATGCCAGTGTGCTTGGGCTGCGGACTGAATGCAGGGTTATGATTGTATGTCAAGCATTTGACCAGCTGAGCCATCTCCCCAGCCCTGTTGTCCTGTTTGCCATTGTCTTATAGAATTCATGCTAAACAGTTGTTTTGGGTGGTGGTACTAGGGATTGACCCCAGGGCCTCATACATGCTAGCAGGTACATGCTCACTCATCTATACCGCTAGCCCCTAATCCTTTAAAGAGCAGCTATTGGGGCAGCTGTGTATGATGGTATAGACCTATAGTTGTAGTACTTGGGAGGCAGAGGAAGTAGATGAGGAGTTCCAGGCCAGCTTGGCTACAGTGTGAGACCCTCTCAATAAATCAAAGGAGGGGAAGAGGGGTTGGGGGAGGAGTTCTGCAGCTGGAGAGATGGCTTAGTGGTTAAGCGGTAGTGCTCTTACAGTGAACCCAAGTTGGGAGGTTAGCAGCCACCTGTATATAACTCCAGCTCCAGGGAATCCACCTTCTTCTGGCTTCTGTGGGTACCCATACACACTTTTACACCCCCCCCACATACACATAATTAAAAATAAATCTTTGTTGTGTGGCAAACTTTCCTGGGAGGGTGCAACACTCACACATGCACATCTATTCACCCCAGAAAGGAAGTCCACAGTAAATAAAAGTAATAGTTGTACCATAATCCAATTTGGTGGAGTTTTTATTGGATTACTGACAGGTGCAGGGATGATGCAGAAAAGCAAAGCCCAGCCCAATACTGGTGAGGACTCATGAAACTGCGTCCCTGGAGCTCTGCAAAGCTTGCACACAGCAGGGCCCATGGGAACACCTCAGAGGCTCCTCTTTGAGCAGTTGTTACTCCTCTATGAAACAGCGGGGGTGGGGGTGGGGGTCGCCTGGAGTGAGGGCTCAGCGGTTAAGAGCACTGTCTGTTCTTGCAGAGGGCCCAGGTTTGATTCCCAGCACCCACACGGCAGCAAACAACCATCCCTAACTCTAATTCCAGGGGAATCTGATACCCTCTCTGACTTCGACATGGGTGTACTTACATGCAGACAATGCACTCATACATTTAAAATAATAAAAATTTTAAAAAAAATACTAGAAGCTGGGCGTGGTGGCGCACACCTTTAGTCCCAGCACTTGGGAGGCAGAGGCAGGCGGATCTCTGTAAGTTCAAGGCCAGCTTGGTCTACATAGTGAGTTCCAGGACAGCTAGGGCTACAGGGAGACCCTGTCTCAAAAAGACCCCCCACCCCCCAAAAACATACTGACTAGAGGGGCCTTTGAGGTTCTACCAAGTTTTCATTTTCCCAAACGTGTGACCTTTTGTTTATTCCCTGAGTCTCATGAGCTGCCCTCTCCCCTTCTGAAGGGAATACTTCAATTTGGAGTAAACTGTTACACATCGGTCTCCCCCCAAGCCCCCAATTTTTTTTCTTCAAGCTATTACTGTCATGGATGTATCAAGAAGCCAGAAACAAGAGCCACATATTCTGGTCCATTTAGTGTGAAGCATCTAGAATAGGCCAGTCCCTAGAAAGAGTAAATCAGTGTTGCTAGGGGTTGGGGAAGGGAACAAATAGGGAAGCATTGCTTAATGAATACAAGGTTTCCTTTTCCAGTGATGAAAATATTGTGAATTGGAAAATGGTGGTGTGCATTGTGAATGTTCTAAAAGCCAGTTCGTGGCATGCTCTCAGATGGTTAAAATGGTATATTCTAGGTTGTAAATAGTTTTCCAAGACTAAAAAAATACTGCTTCAGTGATGATGTGGTTTCTGTTGATGGCATATTGTAGCTTCTGCCACGTCACGTTAATCTTCTGTTGTTTGTTTAGGTAAAATGATTCATTCTATGGTAGCACATTTGGATGCTGTTACGAGTCTAGCAGTAGATCCCAATGGAATCTATTTGATGTCTGGAAGTAAGTTTAAACTTATGTACTATCCACACACTTCATAAAAGAATTGCCACTTGATAACAAGTGTTACTGTCTTTTACAGGCCACGACTGCTCTATTAGATTATGGAATTTAGACAGCAAAACATGTGTGCAAGAAATAACAGCTCATAGGAAGAAATTGGATGAATCAATTTATGATGTCGCTTTCCATCCATCAAAAGCATATATCGCCAGTGCGGGAGCTGATGCCCTTGCCAAAGTGTTTGTGTGAACCAACACCAACTCACATGAAAAAAAAGATTTGCTTGGTTAGAAAGAAAGAGGGTGTACATCACTGCCATCAGAAGGGTTACTGATATAATACACTACACGTAGTCTGCCTGATGAAAGCTGTTTGGGCAGGCATAAATTGGTGGAAATCACATCTTAATGTCAGGCTCATATGTTTAACTGTAATTAACTATTTTGTGGGACAGAAAGAAAAAGGACTCCAGTATATGTGGGCTATACTGGCTATGAACCGAACAGAATTTTTTTAACGTGTTTAAGCCAGTGTGGAGTCTGATCTTACAAAAAGACCTTTTTTTTGGACTCTGTGTGCTGCCTTAGGGTTAGGAATGTGGTGCTCTTGTGGGGGAAGCAAGCTCCAAGAGTAGCTTTTTTTCATCTCTTAGTGATCTTATGTTTATCAGTTGAATGCCACAGATCCCCTTTTAAACTTATTTTGCTTTAAAAAAAAGAAATTTAACTTAAAATATTTTAGCATTAGTTGCACAAATGTTTGGATAAAATTCTAGTTTTTATAAGTCTTTTTATATATTTAGCCTGTCACAACAGTGCTCAAGATTGTATTGACGTTTTTCTGCATTATACAACCCTAAAACACAGAGATCTCACTGACCTATCACCCATAACCACTTTCTTTCATTCTTTTGCCTAATATAGCTCAGCTAAGTCCTTCATAAAGATGATAAATCATCATCATATACATGTCTTCATGAACCAAGGACTAGTAAATGTATTAAAATGAAACAGTGGAGTTTAGTAACTCCAAATGAACTCTAAAAAACTAATCTTGACATCCTATCACTATGTGATATTTTGTACATCTTACTGTATTTACAAGTTTATTTATCAAGGATTATCCATCTTGCTAATGGCCTATTATTTATTTCACTTTTTGTTGGTCTTTATATCCTTTTATTAATGTGCTAAAGGAACCTGTATATCTATTTTGGAACTCTTTGAATAGTCTAAAATAGACTAAAAACAGAATATTTTATAGTTTAAGTTACAAACCAAGGTGTTTTTCCCCCCAAGATACCTATCTTGACTTTACTGTGATTCCAAACAAAATGATCTTATTTAAAAATATTTGGAGTAATTCTTTATTTGCATTACAAATAAGATACAAAAGTAGTTGAATCAGGATACAAAAGTCTGCTGTGTTTGGACTAGTTTTCCCAGGTTTATTTTTTAGCTGTGTTTCATTCATGGTGTAACTAAACATTTTCTTTGTGTAATGCATGATTAAGACCATAAAGTATTTTTTCTAGTCTTCCAAAAACCTTTTCTGATCAGTTTGCGGGTTTTGATGAGTTTTGTAAGGTTTTTGTTTTACAGACTATGAATCAGCAAATTTTTAAGATTGTACCACAAAGCAAACGTACAGCTGTTGAAAAATAATGTATATAAAATGCATATAATAAATATTAAATTGTGTACCTGTATGTTATTGTTGGTACGTCATTTTGTGTTGAATAATAAAGTGCAATACTCTACATAATTAAACTAGGAACACAGATGCTCTCAGTGAGTTTTCATTTTCACACTGTTCTTTTTATACTCTACAGCACTTAAACTGATACTCTAGTAAGATTAGAACAGAATCACTATTAATAATAATGTTTTTTGGCCGGGCATGGTGGTCCACGCCTTTAGTCCCAGCACTTGGGAGGCAGGAGGCAGGCAGATCTCTGTGAGTTTAAGGCCAGCCTGGTCTACATAGTGAGTTCAGGTCAGCTGGGACTACAGGACGACCCTGTCTCAAAAAGACTTTAAAAAAAAAGAAGAATGTTTTTGAGTCAGGCATGGTGGTACACACCTTTACTTTAATCCCAGCACTTGGGAGGTAGAGGCAGTCAGATCTCTGAACTTGAGGTCAGCTTGGTTCACATAGTGAGTTCCATTCCAGCTGGGGCTACAGGGAGGCCCTGCCTCAAAAAACAATGTTTTTGAAGCATTTCTCTCACTGGGGATTTTTTTTAAAGTTATTAAAATAAGCCATCCAAAGCCTTCCCTAGAATTCAGAGATGCAATTTTATATAATTCTTTGAGATACCCTGTTGCTTTATTCAATCTCAGTTTTACTTAATAATCATAACCTGTTTTCACAAAATGTTCAGCAAAAAAAAATCCCACATTATTAATGAAAGAAAAATTGTCCTATAAATAAGGTTAAGAATTATATCTTAACTTTTCCTTCAATTAAGTAATATCCTTTTTCTTAGAAGGAATTGCAAATGGAATTCTATGCAAGCTTTAAAGAACTTATATGCAAAATTCTATTTGAATTCTTGCTCTAAAAATTAGATTATGTATACATTGAGAAATTTCATGACAATTTCAGTTATTGCTGACTTCAGAGCTTGTTACAAAATGTTCCTTTGGGGGGCTGAAGAGACGGCTCAGTGGGTAACAGCATATGATTTGAATCCCCAGGACGCCTGGTAAAAAGCCATGCATTGTGGGCCCGAGACCCTGATAATGTCACTGGCAAGTCAGCCTCACCCAAAGGTTCAGTGAAAGAGCCTTTCTCAAGGCAGTTAGGTGGAAGTAACGGGACAAGGATCCTGCTCTAGCCTCTCCTCACCACTCCCTTTAAATAATCTTCCAAAGCTGGTATTGTTCCTGACGGTTTTCCAGCCATTGCGTTGTCTGGCTGCTGTAACATGCTGCTGTCTACAATGCACGAGCATTGCCTCTTTTACAGTGTACTGAGGTGGATTAGTGTGTTGATTTGTTCTTCTTTGCATTTTTATGATATTAAATACAGGGACTGAAAGGTTGGAAAAATGATTTTTTTTTTCTTTTTGGTCTTTTTGAGACAGGGTCTCCCTGTAGCTCACTATGTAGACCAGGCTGGCCTTGAACTCACAGAGATCCACTTGCCTCTGCTTCCCAAGTGCTGGGATTAACGCCTGGCATTATGTACGTTTTTTTAAGCCCTCAATATTTTTTAAGATTTGATTTTTTATGTGTATGAGTGTTTTGCCTGCAATCTGTAAGTGCACCAGTGTCTGCAGAGCTCAGAAGATGGCATGAGACGCCCTGGAATGGAGTTAAGCATATTTATTAGCCACCGTGTGGGTGCTGGGAACGGAACCCTAGTCCTCTGCAAGAACAGCCAGTGCTTTTAACTGCTAAGCCATGTCTGCAGCCCCTAAACTCTGAATGTTTATTTTTCCTCCCATACTTGTATTTTTCTCATGTCAAGCTGTTACCCACTGAAACCAGCATCTCAATTATCTCAACTCAAATGGGGCTAAAGAGATGACTCAGCAGTTAAGAGCATTTGCTTTTCCAGAAGACCCAAGATCGATTCCCAGCAACCACTTTGGGCAGCTCACAAACACAGCACCAGCTCCTGGGGGTGTCTTGATGCCTCTTGCCTCTGCAGGCACCCACATTGACATGCACTGATGCACACACAGACAAAAAGTTACAAAATGAGGGGCTGGAGAGATGGCTCAGCAGTTAAGAGCACTGGCTAGTCTTCAAAAGACCCAGGTTCAAATCCCAGAACCCACATGGCGGCCAACAACTGTAAGTCCAGTTCCATGGGATCCGACACCCTCTTCTGCCCTTGGGCATTGCATGACACGGGTGCACTTAACATACATGCAGGCATTGCACTCGTATATACATAAAAGCAAATTTTTTAGTTACGGAGGTTACAAAATAAGCTGGGTGTGGTAGTGCATGCCTTTTATCCCAGCACCTGGGAGGCAGAGGCAGGTGGATCTTTGTGAGTTTGAGGCCAGCCTGGTCTACATAGTGAGTTCCAGGACATCTGGGGCTACAGGGAGACCCTGTCTCAAAAGGACAAAAGAAAAAACCCCAAACCAAGACAACCCAAAGTTACAAAATGAGCCAGACGTCGTTGGGCTGCCCCTGTGATCCTAGGAGGGTAATTGGTTCAAGGTCTGCTTGGGGTACAAGACCTTGCCTCAAGAAGTACTGTGGGGGGCGGGCTGGAAAGATGCTCAGCAGTTAAGAACACTGGTTGTTCTTGCAGAAGGCCTGTGTTCCAGTCCCAGCACCCACATGGCAGCTAATAACTGTAACTCCAGTCACGGGGGATCCAACAGCCTCTTATGTCCTTCGTGGGCATTGCATGACACGGGTGCACTTACCTACATGCAGGTGATATATTCATAAAAAAAATAGTATAGTGAAAAATTACAAAAGGAGCTAGCATATTTGACATGCCTGCTGAAGCTGGATTGTAATAGATGTTTTTAAAACTTCATTTTTAAAGCTCTGTGTGATGGTGCAGATCTGTAAGTCCAGCACCCATGTGGATGAGACCAGCCTGTCTCCAGAGAACCACAAAGGGTTGTTTACTTGCAAAAGTTCTTAGTAGTATAAAATTTCAATTTCCTTTGCTGCTTTTGTCAAAGTATTAGCATCCCTGGTTACCTCTGATGCCTCAAAATTTTGTCCTTTTTAGAAATAACGGGGGGGGGGGGGGGGGGCGTGAGTTAATGACTTGAAACTGGGCTTTCGTGCATTACTAGATGAAAATTTGTGGGCTATGTATTTATGAGAAAGTCAAGTTAAACTATTTCATAATGTTAAGATCATTGTTAAAAATGAGTCCATTAGTATCCTTTATTTATTTATTTATTTATTTTTTGGTCTTTTTGAGACAGGGTCTCCTTGTAGCCCCAGCTGTCCTGGAACTCACTATGTAGACCAGGCTGGCCTTGAGCTCACAGAGATCTACCTGCCTCTGCCTCCCGAGTGCTGAGACTAAAGGCGTGTGCCACCATGCCCAGCTATTAGTATCCTTTTATAAGAGCTGAGAGGAGGAATGTCTTCAACACCCATTTTACCAAAATTGTATGTTTTGGAGATAGCTCCTCTCTCACAATACTTTTATTACCTTTACACAGACTATGAAATTTGGACATACTTCAGTAAATCATGAGTTCCAGGGCTTTTTCCAAGTCAGTTGATTGTAAACAGTTTCAGAACCAGAATCTGTTTGAATCAGGGAGGCCTAGGATGCCCGGGTGCATGAGGAAAGCAAGAACCTGCTTTTAAAGAAGGGAAACCTGGAGAGGTGGCTCAGCAGTTAAGAGCACTGGCTGCTCTTGCAGAGGACCTGGGTTTGATTCCCAGCACCCATGCGTTGGCTGACAACCATCTGTAACTCCATTTCCAGGGGATCTGACACCTGACCTCCTCAGGCATTGATGACATAGGTACACTTACACACACGCAGGCAATACACTCATATACCTAAAATTAAAATGTTTTTAAAATGAAGATAAGCAAGATGGGATGATGGAGCATCTCTAGAGAGAGGCCTTGGTGGGCTCTAAATCCACATTAAGGGAGTGTTGGTATGCTTTGCATCAACTTCACAAATGAGGTTAAATCAAAATGACACTGCTTAGATTTCTATTGAGGCAGGTATTCAAAAGCATGTTTTAATGGTTAACCTGGTAATGACTATGGTGATATGTGAAACAAGCATTCAGTAAATAATTGAAAAAATATTATTGCATGATTTAATTCTTGCTGGTTGTTCCATATAAACTAGCAAATGTGGAATTCTTGCCATATCCTAGGGAGAAACACTTGAAATACATACCAACTTGGTAAGTCACTAACAAGTTTTATTGTTTACATATCCAAGCTATTATACCATATTTTACCAGTAGTTACAATTTTTTTCTTGGTCTTTTTGAGACAGGGTCTCCCTGTAGCCCCAGCTGTCCTGGAACTCACTATGTAGACCAGGCTGGCCTTGAACTCACAGAGATCCGCCTGCCTCTGCCTCCCGAGTGCTGGGATCAAAGGCGTGCGCCACCACGCCCGGCTAAAGCATCTATTTTCCAAAAGCTTTACCAACTTAACATTTTCTCAGTCCTTGGATGGCTTTCATAACAAGTCTTACATCTATACACATAAAATTAAGACTATAAATAGAAAAATACCAGGGAATCCCATTTTATTTTATTGAATGTGGTATTTTCAATTATAAGACTACCAAAGCAGCTTGATAAATGATTCCATATAATAACTACTATGTGAACTAATAGCTGTTATCTAGTTTTAAGAAAATACCCACTTGGGTCAAAATTTATGCTTTGTCTTTAAAAACCTGGTTTCATTATATGGTCAATGCAGAATGATTAAAGAAGGAATGTTGCTTTGGGTCTATCAGATTTTCTTAAATTGAGCTATGAAATTCTTGTCTACATTTATAGGCATATCTGAGCTATGGTTTGGACCTACGACATCTCCTCTTTCCTGAGTCTCTGAGGACCCTGATTATGAAACCTCATCCAAGTGTTGTGAACCAACTGAAATCTCAATTGTAATCAGAAGTCGGGCGCTTCAGATGAATGTTTATTTGCTTAAGACAGCTGTTGACATAATTATTAAGTATCTGATCTGGGAATACTATATAGTTATTCAGGTATTGTGAGCCTACAATTTGCACATTAGATCCTTTTGCACATATTCTTTGAGTTGTCAGGATGTCACAATTATTGCTGGGATTCTAAGAAATCTCTACAAATGCCTCTAACAACATCGGAGACAATTGGTTCCAATCCTGTGAACTCTCTTGTGAAGAAAGCATGGGACTCCTTGGGCTTAGAGGCCATATCTTTCAGGTCATCCAAGGGTGCCCAAGCCACACCAACGGAGAAGATAGTGATACCTACAATGGAAATATTTTTAAGCCAATTAAAAATAGGCCTAGATTACATAGAAACTTAATGTTTTCCACTAATACATAGCTTCAGAGAAAACTGCATAATTTCTGAAGTGAAATCTATACAAAATTGTTAGGTGATTTTCACAGTTCTGATTATTATGGCAAAAAAATTGGCTAAAATCAAAACCTTTGCCATCAGTAACAATATATAATAGAATAATTATTGACGTAAAAATACTTAAACATTCAATATCCGAGACTGCATTTACCAACTAGAAATGTTCTTGAGCTGATACTATCTTTTTTATTTTTTTGAGACACTGCATGTAACCCTGGCAGGCCTAGAACTTGGCTGTCTACACTAGGCTAGCTTTGAATTCAGAGATTTGCCTGCTTCTGCCTCCTGTGTGCTGATGTTAAAGGTGTGTGCCACCATGCCTGGCAAGGTATTTTTTAAAAATTTTTAAAAATTATTTTTATTCTATGCGTATGCATGTATTGCCTGCATGTAAGTAAGTGCACCCGTGTTGTGCAATGCCTGCGGAGGTCAAAAGAGGCTCTCCGATCCCCTGGAGCTGGAGTTACAGACAGTTGTTAGCTGCCATGTGGGTGCTGGGATATGAACCCGGGTCTTCTGCAAGAACAGTCAGTGTTCTTAACCGTTGAGCTATTTCTCCAGCCCCATGGCATGGTGTCTTTTATTTTTAAGCCCCTTCATGCCTGACAGAAAAGAGTGCCTGTTACAGTCACTTCTAGACCATTCCAGAGTCCTAGTAAGTAAGTGACACTGGCACAAAAGAAGATTACTAAATGGCAAAGGTCTTCAAGGGTTGTGTTGTCTGAGAAATGGGCAGGAGTGGGAATCTGTGTTTACCTCAGTCTTCACAGTTACACTGGCAAACTTTCTAATTAAGAATTGCCAGTGTTTAATCCTAAAGCAAAAAATCTGGTGACTAAACTGCTCAAGAGATTTAAGTGAATCTAGAAGAATTTCAGAAAACAAATGCTTAATGTTTCTATCGAGTCCTGAAATTCGCAGGGCTCTTCGTTGCCTACACAAAGCATGACCTTACCTGCATCATGGGCGGCAGCAGCTGGGCCTCGGATGTCATCATAGGACTGCCCATCTGTAATAATTACCAGGAAGTTCTTGTTGGGACTGTGTCTAATGGGACCAAATACATTTCTAACAGTAAAGGCGATGGCATCACCAGTGGCTGTTCCCCCACTCATGTAGCGGATGTTCCCTATAACAGCTAGGACGTTCTCTTTGGTGGTATAGTCAGTGAAACTGAATTCCGTGCGCTGATCGTAAGTGAACTGTACAGCTGCGATCTTGGCGCCAATGTCTGAGATTTCAAAAGTCTTGGCTATGTTGGAAACAAACTGAAGCATAAGGCGGAAATTACTGTCTCCAACGCTGCTGGAGCCATCAATCAGAAAGGCAATATTCACTGAGTTGTAGCAGGTCCTGCTGCACATCATCTGCTCGTGAGTGCAAAGCTTCTGCACCAGGGGTTTGACATACTTTGTGGTGCCAAACCAGTTGGGCATGTGGTAAGAGAAGAAGCCGTTATTCCGACACACAGCCTAATGGGGGAGACAAAAGAGATGCCAAAAGATCAAAAGTTGGTTTGTTTTTTCGAATATTTTGTTTAGGTGAATAGTGTTTTGCCTGCATCTAAGTGCACCACGTGCATGCAGTGCCCATGGACACCAGAAGAGGGTATCAGATCTTGGAACTCGAGTTACAGATTGCAGTTAGCCACCATGTGGATGCTGGGAACCAAACCTGTCTGGGTACTCCAGAAAAGCAGCCGGTGCTCTTACCTGCTGAGTCATCTCTCCAGCCTTCGAAAGTTGTTTCCTAATATTTTGTGGTACTGGAAATTGAATCTAGACCCTCACATGTGCTGGGCAGGTATTCTACCACAGAATGGTGCTCCCAGCCTTTTAAGCCAGGATAGCACCCAGGCTGGCCTTGAACTTGCAGTCCTATTCCTTTAGCCTCCAAGTTGCTGGGATTACAGGTCTGTACTACCAGGGTCACATCAAACATTAAATCAAACCTTAAATGTTCATTAATCTAGTTATGGACCAGTCAGTAAGTACTAGGCTTAAGAGGCCACAAACTGAACCACTCCCACCATCAGAGAGCCCTCGCACCTTACCTTGTCAACAAATGCAACATCCTGAACCATCCCCAGTTCTTCAGGGACAGGCTTGGCCACAGAGACTATAAATACATTGACACCGAACTCCCTGGCCACAATGCCTGCTTCCTCGATGTCATCAGAAGGCCAGCCGTCAATAAACACCACCACCACTTTTGGGATCCCTTTTCTTACACCTGTATCCGCTGTAAAGAATTTCTGAGCAGTGTGCTTCAAGGCTTTTCCTAGGTTTGAAAAAAACAAAACAAAACAAAATGAGCAGCATTGACCAAGGCTCAAAGGACACTTCTAATTCCAGGTAATGACTTGATGCCTTTAAGAATCAATGCAGGGAACTCAATTATATAACAGATCCATAAAATGGGAAAGCTGAATTATCCTTTGGGCCTCTTTTTTTGTCTTCACAACCCACATTGGTCCCCCTCCACCTCCCAGAAACCTCAAATTCCCTTCTTCCATCAGTCACCAGTCAAACACAAAACGATGCCTGTCATGTGCTCCCGCCCTGAGACTGATGAGTGCAGATGAGGAACAAGGTGGCTTCAGAGGGTCCGCCCCACCCGCATTCGTGAGTTAAGGCTATTACACAGACACTGCCCTAAAGCAATAACTGACCTATCTAATACAAGATTATAAACACACAATGATGAGGGGATTTGTGGTTTTGTTTTTAAGTATTATCAGCTAACACCTCAGTATATTTTCCTTTTAGGGCCAGATGCAGATCCAGTCAAAACTAGCACTAGAGAAAGTGTTTCGTACAGTGACACATTGTGGCTTTCAGTGTCTGATCAAAAATAGTCTAGGATGCCACATCCTGGGGACAGTGAACTTACCTGTATTGGAATTACCCCCTTGGAAACCTACTTCTTTTATGGCAAACAAAACGTCTTTGGCTGATGTAAAATTTTTCAAGTAAAATTCTATTTTTGGATGTTCACTATAAAAAACACACAAAAAGAAAAGTTATCCCACATGTACTGGAGAGACAAAATAAGTAAAAATAAGCAGTTAGTTGTCCTTTAAAAGACAAAAAAAGTCAGACCCAAGTTCCTTTTAAAATTCCATAGTATATAATCAACTAGGGTATTGCTGCCTTATGTTTCAGAAAAAAATGTAACAAATACACTTGCTGCACTGAGAGTTTATTATGTTCTAGATAATAGCTAAATATACGTACATAATCATCGTATTTTACTGTCCCAATTATTTGGAGAAACAGGCTCAGCACGCTTACTTAAGCAGTGTACCTAACGAAGCACTCAACATTGAGTCTATCAGCCTTGGTCTCTCTGGACAATATCAGTGACACTGGGGTCCACATTTTAAAATGGGAAATGAATTATAAAATGTGACAATGTTAAGATTTTCTTGTAAGAATGACATTTACCAATCTTAATTCTGAAATTAATATTTAAATAATCTCAGCTCACTTTTAACTACTCTTTGTCTGTTAGAAATCATGTTGAGGGCTGGGGAGATAGTTCAGTCCAGGTCGTGAGTTCAATTTCCTGAAGCTACGTAATAAAAGGTGAGTGTGGTGGTGCATGTTTGTGATCCAAGGGCTGGGAAGGGAGAGACAGGCAGATCTCTGGGACTTGTTGGCCAGCTTACTTGGCAAGTTCCAGGCCAGTGAGAAAAAAAAAAAAAAAAAAACAAACAAAATGGTGGGTGGCATGTCTGAAGAATAACATCCCAAGTTGTCCTGTAGCTTCTGCACACACGTGCATGCGCAACTACATGCATGAATACACACACACACACCAGAGACTATGCTGAGTAAAACAACAGCTCAGCTTGTCTTTAAGTCAACTTAAATGCAATTTTTCAAGCTTTTTAAAAAAATTATTTGTTATTATTATTTTTTTATATGTGTGTGTGTGTGTATGCCTGCATGTAGGTAAGTGTACCCGTGTCGTGCATTGCCCGAGGAGGACAGAAGTGACTGTCAGATCCCCTGGAACTGGAGTTACAGACAGTTGTTAGCTGCCATGTGGGTGCTGGGATTCGAACCTGGGTCTTCTGCAAGAACAGTCAGGGTTCTTAACTGCTGAGCCATCTCTCTAGCCCCCAAATTTTCAAGCTTTTAACATTATAAACTATATTGTTATGTCCAGATTTTTTTTTTTTTTTGGAGACAAGATTGCCTGCCTCAGCTTCCTGAGCAGGCCACACTTGTGGCTGTGGCTCTCCTCGTTTAGCATTAATTTTGTTTCTGCATACCTGGTAAAATGTTGGATTATAAAAATCAGAGTTCATGGTCTATTTCTAGTAACTTTTTCAACTTGTGGCACTTTTCAATTATTCAAATTATGACTTAGGAGATTTGCATTTTTTTTGCATCCTTAAATGTGCAAGGATCATTTTGTTCTATTTAAATACAAGTTCTTGGCATAATTTATTCCAGACTTCTTCCTTAAGTAGAAAAACTATGACTACATGGTAATGAGCATTCATGTTGAAAAAGCATAGGGTCAAATTAGCCAAAACAAACAAAACAGTATGAAAAGAAAGTGCCTGAGAATCGTCTCAGAGACAATTAAAATGTTCAGTAAAGCTTTAATAACCAGAGCACTGCAGAAAATGTAAGACTCAGCACACGGGTCAAAGAAACCTGCCCAGATGTATATAAATTTGACACTACACTCATTTAAAAAGGCCTAATTTTTTTAAAGGCAAAGGACAAATAATTCTGTAATAAAGTTACTGCCCTCTCACAATAAAAAACTGACCACCTACATAAAGCCGCAAGTGAGAGCTGGGTGTGGTGACTACACCTTTAGTCCCAGCAGAGGCAGGCAGAGATGTCTGTGAGATCAAGGCCAGCCTGGTCTACACAGTGAGTTCCAGGTCAGCTGGGGCTACAAAAACACAACAAAGGAGCGTTTGTAGTGGTCCTGAGTTACCCTGAGATGATGCTGGTGGTACTTTAAACTGGCTTAACTTTCTAGAAAGCAATTTAGCTAGATCTCAAACTTTTTTATTTTGAGACAGGGTCTCACTCTGTAGCCTTGGCTGACCTTGAACTCACCCTGTCTCCCGAGTGATAGGATTAAAGGAGTGCACCACCATGCCTGGCCTTGTGCCAAACTTTTAAAGCGTTACAACTTCAGGTCCAGGAATTCAGTTGAATAAAGTAATCAAAGGTGGGCACAGAGTTGACTTAAGGCTACTCCTCACAGAGTACCAGGTGATGATGGAAAGCATCTGAATGGCTAAGTGATTATGCAAATGAATACTATTAAAGCGATTTGCAATGAGTATCTGTCAGGAGAAAATGCTCAAAACACTAAGGGGTGAGAACACAGGCCACAAGACTTTTTTTATAGCCTGACGTGAAAAAGGAATCATATATACAAATATTTTCTTAAATACAGAGAGGAAAGGAAATATTAAGAAGATCATATCTGGGGGACTTAGTCTGAGAAATCTGCTTCTTTGTGCTTTACTTATTTTTCAAGTTTCCTATAACGGACATACTGCAGCTCTAAAACCCAGCAATATTAGTGTTACATGAACCAAGTAAAAGATATCATGCCTCAGATCTCCAACCAAGGAAACATGGAAATAGCTAAAAGGAGCAATGGCAGAGGAGGTCAGGGGAACAGAACGGGCAGATGACTGCGTCTCCCTCCAGAAAAGAAACTGGGGACTCCATGAGGAAGAGGAGGTGGTTCACGTGCAAGCACCGGACCCTGCAGCCTTCTGTCTGGCTTACACAGTGTGTAGTTCACTCAGTCCTTTCATGCTAACGAAGATGCACTCAGACCTGCCCAGACTACCCAGTCTTTGTTTTGTTAGTAGTGTTAGGGCATGGGCATTCTTTTTTTTTTTTTTTTAATCTTTTTGAGACAGGGTCTCCCTGTAGCCCTGGCTGGCCTGAAGCTCGCTATGTAGACCAGACTAGCCTTGAACTCAAGAGATCCAGGCATGGGCTTTCTTAAATCCCGAATTTAAGAAATTTTAAGTTTGGGACTCCAGCTTGTCCAAACTTAAGATAGTTATGTTGAACCAAAATGACTGAAACAGATTGGTAAATTGTCATCATACAAGGCATCCGTTAGTTCCCATTTTATCAAGATTATACCTGGCTTGAACGAGGCCCACGTGTGGTCCTTCTGTTCCAATTCCCAACATTAAAGCCACTTTCCCAACAAAATTCTTCTGTAAATTAAATCGGCGCTGCCCAATATTAAAGCTTCCGTCGATCAGAAATGCAATGTCTGCTTTACAGTCTGGAAAGACCCAAACAAGAGCTTAGTTAGTGTCAAGTGTACATAGAGGGAATGTCATTTTCCCTGATGTTTAGCTTACCTTTATTTCCGGTTTTCTTCTCTGGCGTTTTCTTTAGCCGTTTACCTGAAACAAAGGAAGCTCTTGGCATGAACGAAAGACTGACATTTTCACAGCACAAGCTCCAAGGGGGACAAGCTCATGACGAAGAGGGCTGTGCTTAAGAAATACTAGTAAGTAGGGGCTGGAGAGATGACTCATCGGTTAAGAACACTGGTTGTTCAGAAGAACAGGGTTCGAATCCTAGCACCCACATGGCAGCTAACAACTGTCCGTAACTCAGTTCCAGGGGATCCGACAGCCTCTTCTGTCCTCCACAGGCATTGCATGACGCGGGTGCACTTACCTACACACAGGCAATACACGCATACACATAAAATAAAAATAATAAATAAAAAATATTTAAAAGAAATACTTGTAAGTTATTTCATGATTTTCTGGGCTGGGGAAGCAATACTCCAACAAAAATCAAGTCAGAACTGTGGCAGGCCTACATACTGGGTGTGCACCTAATCTAGGACTTTGACACCCTAAACCCACAGCAAGGCTGGGAATGCAGAGCCCATTGTTCTGAAGTTCTTTGACTTTAAAATGGCCACTATCTTAGAAAAGGAGATCTCTGGATATTTCCTACAGTGGACACACTGATTTCTTTTATTCACACGACAGTGCAGAAACTAAGGGAATTTAATGAAGCAAACTGAGCCAGAAAGAAAGAAGTCTGTGGTACCTTGACCAATTTCTTGACATGGTCCATCAAATTGGGGGGCAGGGGGGTAGAATGGCAGAACTTCAGCAGAGTTTATAATAAAAAGCATGAGAAGCTTGAAATATAAAGTGGATTGCATTTCCACAATACGTCAGTAAATGAGATAATTGCTTTGTTCTTTAACATAAATTTTTAAAATTTAATTTATTTTTATATGCGTTTTGCCCATGTGCATGTAAGTGTATACAGTCCATAGAGACCAGAAGAGGACATCAGATGCCTTGGAACTAGAGTGATAGAAGGACAAATGTTAGCTGTCATTGGGTGCTAGGAACTGAAACCAAGTCCTCTCCAAGAGCAGCCGGTGCTCTTGACCTTGGAGCCATTTCTCCAGGCCCCAATAATATTTTTTTGAAGGAAAGTCTCTGCCAATACATGTGTTTGTGACTCCCAATGCTGTGCCAGGCCGCTAGGGAATCAGGTCTATGCTTCCTGCCTACCTGCTGGTGGATGGGCTGTGGACACCGCCTGTCCCGTGGCTTCCTGGGTACTGCTTTTGCCTTCTGTTAAGATAAAGAGAAGTTTGCTCTTTCCCCTTTCCTCTTTACCATCAGAGCACTATGAATCTAACTTAAGGTTTTAGAGGATGATTAAGGGGGTAATGGTGACTCAGTGTAAACATCACACTGTCTGTTAGGTTCAGAGAACCAGTGTGTATGTTTACTATATTTGAAAAGATCACCAAAAACTGAATTCACTGGTTTTATAGTTTCCTACCTTTTAAGTATCTGGGCATTTGAACTGTAGACAATTTGGACTTCTATTCCCACCATGAAGTGAAATTATTACTCCCCCCAGTCCCCCAAGCTCGGCTTGACACCAAGCGCCACTCTTCTTGACTACACAGTTTCCCATCAGAACCAGAGGTTGGACTAAGAAAAGCAGAAAACCTTCTTGAGAGGAGTGGGGTAGCATTTCTGCACAGGTGAGAACAACGTAATTGTACCTACTAGTCACCGTGAAGGAAGCAGACCATCTGGACAGTGTCTGAGACCGGACACCATTGGCCTCTACTGAGGAATAGTTCTCTCGACCAGGTAGGCTATAAACACGCACAGGTCCCCCTGAGGTGCCGATTACTCCCCTGAAATGCAAGAATAACAGCTGAGACACTATCTACTCTAATTTAAATTTTTTTTTTTTTTTGGTTTGTAAAGATAAGATCTCCCTGTAGCTCTAGCTGGCCTAGAACTCACTATGTAGACCAGGTTGGCCTCAATCTCAGAGCTCAGCTTGCCTCTTTCTCTTGAGTGCTGGCATTAAAGGCATGCACCACCAGGCCAGGCACTATCCACTCTTTTTTGGGGACATCCAATTGACTTATCATGCTATCTATTGCTCTGATTGGCCAAAAAAAAAAAAGTAGCTCAGTGGGGAAGCCATCTAAGGATGCTTGCTGCTAGCCTTTAAGAACTTGCTTATACAGGGACACATTGTGCCTAGGGAAATGATTTTGTATTGTCAAAGTTTGTTTTTTGTTTTCTTTTTGAGACAGGGTCTCTCTGTAGGCCCAGCTGGCCTGGAACTCAGTATGCAGACCAGGCTGGCTTTGAACTCACAGAGATCTGCCCGTCTCTGCGTCCCGAGTGCTGGGACTAAAGATGTGTGCCACCACGCCTGGCATTGTCAAAGTTTTTAAAGTGTTGATAAGAATATACTGATATCCTCTTTCCTGTAGCTCAGAGATTCAGAACTAACCAAGGGTACCAGACAATTTTTAAAGACAATTTAACGGCACATGCCTTTGGACTTCATTAAAAAAAAAAAAATCATGCTGGCTATTCTACTGCCAGATGGGATGGCATTTGCTAACCATAGAGACATTTGGCAAGGTACGTGCCAACCCTCAGTTCAGTTTCCTCATATGAAAACCAGAACAAAGCTGTCCCTACATCAGGATGTTTGTGGTGAGAGTTCAAACAGTGGCTACTATGTAGTAGAAAAACTGTAATATGACAGCAAGGAAAGCTTTAGAATCAAAAGGATGTAGCCATCAAGCAACCTGTCCTTGGTCAGAAAGTTTTACTTGCATGTTTGGTGTTTCAAGTACATCCAGGAAAACCTTAAAAAAATATATCCATCTTCTATGGCTAAAATTAGCATCAAGAAAGCAGCCAGGTAGGAAAGGGGTTCAAACAGCAAGTGGGAAGGAAAACAATTATGCTTCCATCACCTCCCTCCCTGGCGTGTTCAGGCTTACCTGTGGACCGCAGCCCCACAGATGCTGGATACAGAAGCGTACACTATGTTCCCAAAGACAGAAAATTCCTCAGGAGGGCAGCCCCCTGGGCAGAGAACATCCACTTTCTCTTTCCTGATATCCAAGCCTCTGGTAAAGCAGGTGACAGCGATGGGAACTGAAGAGAGAGGACATGCCATAAGGCTTCTAGGCTTCCTGGGCAGGGAGAGTGATTTAGGTTTACACCCTCAATTTCTACACTTCTACTAAAGTACTGACTTACAAGGTCTACATTTTAGCAAGTCAAAAAGATGTCCCAATTTAATCTAGTTCCCACTTACTACAGAAGTCTAATGTGAAAATGTTCTCCCTTTTTAGTTTGGAAGGCATAAGTAGAAACACATCAGAATGAGAAAATAACCTTAGTTGATGAACATTTATTCACTCTAGAAATACAAAAATCTCAACTGTGATGAAACTATACAGTTGTTTGGGGTGAAGACAGTAAATCTGCACCAAGCCTTTGTGGAGTATTTTCATAGACACATGCAAAAACTCTCTGAGCTACATTTTCCACAGTACCATTAATTTAGTTACCTGACAAAGCCAGAGCCTTAGAATCACATGTTCACATAAGCCAACCAGTTAAATGGTACCTGGATTCACAGAATGTTATTTGGCTAACACATTTTACAGATGAGGAAATGAAAGCTATGGGGTTAATTTGCCTAAGGAACCTTTCCCAACTCACAAATGACCAGAACACAAAAGGAAGTTAATCCTATCTGGATGGAACAGTTCATCTACTTAAATCTGGTTCTTTCTGCCGCTGATCCATCCATACTAGGCAGCAAATACATCTTCAGAAAGCATTGCTAATGAGCTCAGACATTACAATCTGATCAATCAAGAATCAAAGTTTTTGAACCAGCAGTGGGAGCTCACACCAGTAATCCCAGCACTCCGGGAAGCTGAGGCTGGAGGACTGCTTTGAGTTTGAGGCCAGTGTGGGCTACACAGTGAGTTCCAAGCTACGGAATGAGGCCATCTCAAAAAGCAAGCAAAAAGTAAAGTTGTTATTAGAAAAGGTCTTAATTTGTCAAATTCCAGCACACCTCCAAATAGTAACTTGCCAGTTTACTGTTGAAATTAATATTTTTAAATACTATTTTCCAAACACAGAAAATTGTCTCAAGACATCTGGAAACAGAAGTTTCCTAAAAGTAACTCCCAATGCAGTCTGATCGCCTTGCCAGGTTAACTGGTCTCTGCCCTGGGTCCTTTCCCGCGTGGTCGGTGCTGAGCGACACCTGGAATGTACTGGCCATGGATGAACCGCGAAGACGCTAGTGACTCCTCGGCGCGGTTAAAATCCCAACCCCACGGAGGAGCCGCGCACCTACGTCGAAGCCTCATCCGTTTTCAGCGGATGGAGAAGACAGGACTCTCGCTAACGTCGCCCGGGTCCAGGAGGGCGGACACGGCAGCGAGGCGCAGGACTTACCATTTCCAAGAAAAGCAAACGCCAGAGCTTAGAAACGAAATCGTCTCTGACTGCGCAGAAAAGACCCGAAGCACGGGCGTCCTGGGACTGCCTACTCGCGGAGCCAACTCTTTTCAGAGTGGTTCTTGTGCAGACACAGCTGTGGCCCGGGGTGGGGGGCTCTTCCCTAAGCCCGGACGGCGGAGCGAGCGGGGCCGGGGTGCCCCGAGGGGTCTTTCCCGCGCCGGAGAAGATGCCCCCGCCCGTCGGACCCCAGGGGACGCGGGGGAAACCGGCCAGGCGGGGCCGAGTGGGGACGCGTGCGGCCGCCGGACCTCCCGGACCTCCCCGTTCCCGGCCGGGGGCGCAACTCACCGGCTCCCTCCGCGCGCGCGGGCTCGGGCCTCAGCAGCAGCAGGCACGCACCTGCCGGGAGAGGAGAGGAGAGCTGGGCGGCGT